TTTTTTTTTTTGGAGTGCAGTCTGTAGAAGGAAGACATCTGACAATTCAGTTGACTTTGAAAGCCATGGTGCTGCTATGATGGCAAGTACACCAGGTACACCAGAAGTAGTTTTAAGTCCACTCTTCTAAGGATGGCTCCAAAATCTGGCTTCTTCCTACACCTTGGATCGATGGCACATTGAATTATGTTTGAGTTGCAACTTGCCTAGAAAGTTTTCCCTACAGCACAGGATGCATATAATTCGTACCAGAGCAGTTTGGAGAGCACAAAATGAAGAGTTTTATGAAGGGAACTTTTTTTATCGCTTCCTTCAGAAATTTTTGAGGTTTCCTGAGAGATTTTTCATAGAGCCAGTAGAGGATTTTCAGTCTAAGTGTTTCCCCTTTTGACCGCATGTTAGATTGCAAGCAGAATTGGGGAGGGGCAAGGGGGAGCTTTTAGCCTTACAATTTCACCCCATTTAATAACTTTACATTTGAGTTGAGAGACATTGACTCCGGCAAACAGATTAATTATAAACTGCACTACTTCTGTTTTATAATACTGATTTTTTTAAAAAAGGCTTTTTGCATGAATGGATACTTTAAAGAATTTCTTACTTTCTGGAGAAATTTCAAATAGTTGCCCAGTTTCACACAGTAAAAACCTTCCTGACTGGGAGACTTAGATGGTAATGGTTCTAGCTAATAGCTTTATAAGGTGTTAGTTAAACCTTTTAAATTTTGGCACAGTATTGAGAGGTAATAAAAAATTCAGCAGTTCCGATTTTTTTTTTCATTTGTCACACAAATATTTAAACTTAGTATTTTTGTTGTGTGCTTACGCCCAGTTAAAAGAAATGTTACCTTTATAGAAATAGAATGCTCTTCCTGTAGTAGTGGTTTAAAACATAGATGTGACTTCCTTATAGGACTGAAGGCTTGTATTACTTTTAAAACTGGGATTTCATTTTAAATGTGGTTTAATGCAACTGCTGACCGTGAGTGGAAGTAGTTATAAAATGGTCTTGTTAGCTATTTACCTTGGGGAAAAAAAAGCCACTGTGACCTTCCTCGCCCACCCTCCCCCTCCCCAATCCCTGTTTTAGTGAAATGTTCTTGCTTTAATTCAAAGGACTATAGTACTAGTAATTAAAACAAGTGCCCTAAAGCATTTGCAGGGATTAAGGTTACAAGGAGGTAGGCACTGTACAGTGATGGGAAGGAAACAACCCCTGATTTTGGGGACTCGCAGTATAGAGGAATACCCCAAAACTGGCACTGAGGCTGGTTGTTCAATGCTTGTGGCTAGTAAAGGTACCTAGTGAGGTGTCCTTAAAGGACCCAATTCTTACATTTCTTGCACAATTTTTATTTTTTTTAGGTGAAATCAGATGCTACTGTGATGCTGCACACTGTGTTGCAACTGGCTATATGTGCAAATCTGAGCTGAGCGCCTGCTTCTCCAGACTGCTTGATCCTCAGAATACACATTCCCCACTTACTCATGGCTGCTTGGACTCTATAGCAAGCACAGCTGATATCTGCCAAGCCAAACAAGCACAAAACCACTCTGGCACCACCACCACGTCCACCTTGGAATGCTGTCATGAAGATATGTGCAATTACAGAGGACTACATGATGTTTTGTCTCCTTCCAGGGGCGAGACTTCAGGTAGGGCAAGGAAGCTTCAGTGAAATCTCTCTTCTGGCTGTCAAGCTGGTGACAGTTGAGACTTTGTGTCTGCTATTGATTTAGTTGTTAATGTAAGTAGAGACACCAGAGGGAGAAGAGGGTGGATGGATGCAGGGGAGCATCTCAGCTGAATAGTTTTTTTTGTCTGCATTAATATTGGAGGTCTGCCTTGCCAACTTAATGTTGCTTCTAGGAAACAATGGCAGTGGCATTCCTAGTTAAATGGGCTAGCAGGGTAAGAGACTCCATGTTATCAACAGCCTGAGAAACTGACCTTCAACTTCATAGGAGTGTTTTCTCTAGATACTGGGGAGTGTGTAACTGTGCCTCCTTAAACTTGTCAGTGTGGCATTCAAGGGAGTTGCTTCTATATAAACCAGTTCTTGATACTGAACTAAGCTCCATGTCTTTCCCCTTTGCAGGACAAGGAAGCAGATACCAACACGACAGCAGCAGGAATCTCATCACCAAGGTGCAGGAATTGACCTCTTCAAAAGAGTTATGGTTCAGGGCAGCTGTAATTGCTGTTCCTATAGCTGGTGGGCTAATCTTGGTGCTCCTTATCATGCTGGCCTTGCGGATGCTCAGGAGTGAAAATAAGAGACTGCAAGATCAACGACAGCAAATGCTCTCCCGTTTGCACTATAGTTTTCATGGACATCACTCGAAAAAAGGGCAGGTGGCAAAACTGGACTTGGAATGCATGGTGCCTGTGACTGGTCACGAGAACTGCTGCATGACCTGTGATAAAATGAGACATTCAGACCTCAGCAATGATAAAATTCTTTCGCTAGTCCACTGGGGAATGTACAGCGGACATGGGAAGCTGGAATTTGTATGACCAATTATTTTTTAATCTGAGCTAAACTTACTCTCTGAACTCTTGAAGGCCTTTGGGTTCTGCTGGACAGGAGCACTTTATCTGAAAACAAAAACTCTCATAAATCATCTTTGAGAAACAAAGGACCTCTGCAAACAGAATCTTGGATATTTCTTCTGAAGGATTCCAAAAGTTGTCTTATTTGCACAGAGTAAAATACACTCAAATGTATTGTTTGCTTTAAAGTTATGAAAGCAAAAATTAGAAGTTGTAAACACTGTCACCAGGGTTATCTGAACTGTAGGGAGCTGAGAACTGAGTTATTATAATAAACTGTATGCAAGCTCCTATGTTTCCTGACTTATTGTAAAGATTTTTTTAAATATATATATTTTGTCTGAAACTTGCTTGTGACTTTTTGTTTTGGAAAACAATTTTTTTTGGGGGGTGTCAGGGAACAAGTGAGGGAGGTATGTGTGGTAATGCTGTGTGTAACAACTGGAGTCTGAAAACAGTCTGTGTTCCTGCTCGGTGAGGGAAATGAGGTGGTTATTCCAGAACGAAGGTGGCAGCTTTGTTGTTTAATATTTCAAGTAGGAGTGAACCCACATCCTTAGTTTTTGGCTATTGTATTTTGCTCATAACTGGAGTCAATTCTTTTACAGCTTTGTCTGGTAACTAGTTCTTCCTTGCTGTTAATGAGGAAGTGCTACCTTTGTGCAAAACATGTCAGAAAATCAGAAATTTGCTCCAAATTCTTTATAGCTGGTTTTCCTCCCTTGTGTTTTGTGTATTCTGTGATCTTTTTTTACCTTTTGTACCTTTCATGCTCAGCTTTTTTTTTTTTTGAGGGTGGGGGGAGGAGAGGAGGTAAACCTCAAAACCACAAAGCCTATTTTGCTGTGTGTGTGTGTATATATATATATATATTTTTTTTATTGCTGATAACCCCTCTGGGCACAGTGGAAAACGTCTGCCTTGTGCACTTGGTTGTTTCTCACTCCTTCAGCTAGCTGGCTTCGCTTATCGTTTCATTTATTCAATGCTTAGTTGCTAAAAACAAATGAAATCTCTGGATTATCCAAGGGAGCTTGTATTTATTTTTCTTGTTTTACTAGATTTTTTTGTTGCAGCAACTAAAGTAGACTAGCTTAAAAGGTAGATGCCACGTTGTGGTGTGAGAGAGGTCTGAAATGCTGCTGCGGGAGATGCCAGCCATCTATGTTTTAAATAGCTTTAGGGATGCTTCTGGCTGTGAAGTTGTGCAACCAGAGGTGTTGGTCCTGCATGCTCACCTGGGTCCCACCATGTCCGTGGTTGCCATACTGAAGTCTACTTTAGAACAATTAGTTCCATCTAGGTAGCTCAAGTTGCTGGCGCTTCTTAATTTCCTCCAAGTGCCTGAAAAGTTACTTTTAATGCCATGATTTTCTGTCTTTTTTTTTTTTTTTTCTTTTTTCTGCTTTTCTTTCGGCCCCGGCGCGCAGGGTTGGATGGCAGGCGGTATGTCTGCTGCTGCGGAGCGGGTGTCTCCTGCGTCTGAGCTCCTCGCTCGCCAAAGCCCTGCCAAACCGCCAGCGCTTTGGAGAGGAGGAGGCCGGGAGGAGCAGGAAGGTTCGTGTTTATTCTGGAGAGATGCGGGGAAGGTGAATTAGAGCTGCCATCAGGAGGATGCCTCTGCCCCGTGCCCAGGAAGGCGGCCGCTGGGCTGCAGGGTGGATAATTGTGGGACGGCTGAGCTCGTGCACGGTCGAGCCGCTCAGTCTGGCGTGGTGGTGGTTGGTGGTGTGCAGCCCCATGTACCTCCTCCTTCCCCGGGAGGCACCAGGGTGTGAGGGTTCCCCTGGGAATTTGGGCTTCCAGGTGCTGGAGACTGTCTCTCACAGCCCCCACAGAGCAGAGCTGCGTGCGTGAGGGACGTGCTGGAGGAGCAGCATCACCTCGCCAAAAGCCCCATCGATCCAGCAAAGGACCACTTCCTAGTTTCTCAGGTTCACACTCGGGGCAGGGTTTCCCCATTTCTCATTTCATTCAGAAACTCAGGGATTCTTCCCAGTAACCCTGCCTGGGGCAGTGTGGGGCACAGAGCAGGCAGGTGCTGGGTAACATGGGGCTCTTGTTCTCTATTTCCACCCTCCTTCACAGCCAAAGTCCATCAGTTCTTCCCCAGTTTCCCAAGGGACATGTCCTCCATCTCCACCAAAACCACAGTGCCGTGGGCTTGTGCCAGACTCTTTGCCAGGATGAGGCGTTGGCTCTGGGATGCGACCGGGGTGGGCACAGCTACAAACGACCTCCTCTTCCCCTCTGGAAAAGAAAAGCAGAGAGTGATGGGGGTGGAGTGGAGGGGGTGGTGATGTGTCCCCCACATCTAGGGAGCAGGGGCATGTGGCAATGCGGGTGCCTGGCCCTGGAAAGTGCCAGCTGCATGCACGCAAGGCAGCCTTGCACTGTGTCCGTACTTGGGGTGTGCCAGGCTAATTAGAAGGGTGGCAGAGCCCTGCTTCTTGGGTGTACCCAGGGAGCCAGGCAGGAGCTGCAGATGCATCTCCAGCCATAGGGGCAGGTCGAGCCCACCTATGGGGCTCAGGGTTACATGGGATCCACGGTGTTCTTGGATTCAGACATCTAGAGACACCCAAATTCCAGCCTGTGCCTGCCCTCAGCTGTTTTCCAAGTGCACTTCCAGGAGACGGTTTGTCTGCCCCTGAGACATGGTCAGGTTGTGGCTGGGGGTGATGGGGTGCCCACAGTTAATGGGGGGGTCCCATAGCTCGAGTTGTCTGGCATTTCCCTTTCTCGGACAAACCTATTGCCCAGAGGCACCAGCTTCTCTGAGGGCCTCACTTACCGCCGGGGATGCTGCCGGCAGGGCCGGGCAGGGTCTGGCCACGCAGAGCCGCCTCTGAGTCTCAAGCCTGCAGAAGTGGTTCTGGTTGGAGACACGGGTGGAGAAGCCCACGCCGCAGGTGGCCGAGCAGGCGCTCCACTCCGTGCCCCACTCCTGGCAGGGGTATGGCAGCAGCGGGGACACTGCCCCAGGGGCTGGATGGAAAGAGATGAGGGGGGAAAAAGGGTGGTTAGAGTCAGGTTCTGCTGCAGAAATACCCCTGCATGGCAGGGAAATGTGCAATGAGGTGTTTTCTGTTGATGTTCATGGTCTGGGATAAAGAAACCATCCCCGGAGACCTGCGTGGGCATCCCCTCACTGGCATGTCTTGCATCTTACCTGCCGCAGCATCCCGGAGGAGGTGCTGGTCCCGGGCTTCGCAGATCCACTCAGGGCAGCACTTCCCCGGGACCTCCACACGCCGCGGGTAGGGGCAGTCCGGGGTGGGCAGCCGGACATCCTCTTGGCAGAGCGGGATGCAGGTGAAGCCCCCATCCAGGCAGCGGCACTGGAGTTTGCAGCTGGGCTGGAAAACCTCCCCATCTCGATAGACCCGGCCGTTCAACTCGCAGCCCTCCTCGCTGTCTTCAACTGCAAGTGACAGCCGGGGACACCGTTAGGGACACAGTGACAGAGAGGTGTGGACGGCAGAGGGGACTGCTGGGGGAAACTGTGGGGCTGGCATGAGGGGACTGAACGGAGGGGGCAAGAGAAGTGACTAAGAGGTGTGTGGGGCAGACATGGGTTTGCAGCAGTGTGGGCATCAGCCAACCTCCTCCCCCTTTCTGCCTCCTCTTCTGATCTCCGTCTTTCCAAAGCAGCAGCTCACCACTTGGTGAGGAACCTACTGCCCTTCAGCTCTGACCCTGCCTTTCAGGGTGTTCAGGCTTGAAAAAGTTTCTCTGAAATTTCTCTGGAGGACCCCCAGGCTCCAGCCCTGGCAGGGTGACCGTGGCATCCCCAGGACCCCCACCCTGTGCCCATCCCCACTCAAACCACCCTGAATCCCTAGTCGGGGATGGCACAAGAGCTGCCTGAAGCTGCGGCACAGCCCCGAGGCCAAGCTGCATCCATCAGCCTCAAAAAAAGCTGCTTTCAGAGCCTCAACCGCTTCCCTGGAAGCCCTGCGGGATGCCTGGTGCTGCCCGGGGCTCTGGTTGGGGTTATGCTGGGCTGGGGACATGGGGGCATCCTCAGGGGACATGGACACCCCTGTGCTCACAGTTGCAGGTGGCTCCTGTCCCCGCGGGCGCCGCGCTGTAGTCGCAGACGAGGCCCTGGCTCTGGTCGCAGACGTGGAGGAAGTCGCAGGGCTCTCCCAGGCGCCGGGCACAGATCTTACAGCAGCCACAGCCATCCAGGACCAGGGGGGACCCACGGGGGCAGTGGGGTGGCACCCAGGGGCAGTAGCATGGTCTCCGGCACAGCTGGGCACACACCTGCGGAGGCAAAGACACCCCTGATTCCATACGGGTTGTTTTTTTGGCTAATGGCTGCTATATTCACTAGGGCAGGCAGGTAACCTCCTCCCAGTGATGAGGCGGGTTTTCAGCAGAGGGAGGCTCTGCGAATCCATGGGAATATGGCAAAGCAGCCTGGAAAGCTACTGTCCCCCTGGGGCACAGCGTGATGGGCACCTATGGAAAACCAGGGAGAATCAGGCATACTCTGCAGGATGGGGACTTAAACCTCCAGGAGGAGGATGGAGCTACAAGGCAGACATCCCAGGCAGGGGTGGTTATTTAAGGGGGCTGGGAGCCCTTAAGCAGCCCAGCAGGAGGAAGGAAGGGAAAGCAGCCTGCCCCATGCCAGCCACCGAGGCAGCGACTTGTGCCCAGCTGGAGATGTGGCTTTGCAGGGAGCTGAATGCACATGGTGAGGGCACAGCACCTCACTCCAAACGGTCTTAACAGCTCTATTTTGTGCCAAGGAACAGGGCATCACATCAGCAGTGGGGGAACTGAAGCCAAGTGAAGCTCCCTGCTTTCCTTCCTGGTCCAGCTGCCTCCTCTGTCTGGCCCCGGCTGCAGCATCCCCTGCCTGTCCTGCTCCTGCTGGGAGAGCAGCTCTGAGATAAGCATGTTTTCGAGGATGGGGAGCTCCATTTCCCCTCCGAGCTACACCCCTGGGGCAGGGCTGTGCACTGCTCAGCCGATTGTTTGCCAGGGATGTGCCTGCAGGAGTTCAATCCAGGCAGGTAGGTCTTTCTATCCAGGGCTCGTTCTGCTCGCACGATTACCCTGGCACAAGGAGCTTTTGCAGGCAGCGCTCGTGCTGCCGTCGTGCCGTATCTGACAGGGCTTGTTGCATACGGGGCCCGAAGCCAAGGGAGCTGGCTCTGCAGTTTGGAAGGGAATGCTTTGCCAGCCCTGGCCCCGGCAGCGTGTGTGAGCCCCCCCGCAGCAGCCCCAGCCCCCCCCCGGCAGCCTGGCTGCTCAGCACCACACACGCTCTGCTCCTGCAACGTAGGCAGCAGATCAGCAAACCCACAACCAAAAAATCCATCCCTCTGCTGGTCCAGATACTGGTGTGTCTGCTGAGGCTGCCAAGAGACCGAAGGGTTTAGCTGGACCATGTAGATTTTAGATACTGTTTTTCTTCCTCTTTTAGTTTCTCCCAGTAGCATCAGGTCTGACGTTACCAGTTAAACGGAGAAGGTAGGTACTGGTGTGTTATCTGCTCCCCATTTGCAGCATTTCGGATGTTTTTTATGGGGCTGTAGATAAGTCAGTGCCAGAAATTAGAGATAAAATATATCTGAAGTGGGCTGGGCAATCTGTGGCTTGTTCTAGTTTTATCAACGAGCAGCGTGATTAGTGTAGCAGAACCCAGAGAGGGACTCGCAGCAGGGATGGAAGGACTGGTTGTGGTGGCCAGGTTTGGGCTGGAGGCACGAGGGCCCTTGGTGATTCTCCAGGCACTCGTGAGCGCCTGGAGCAGGAGTCATTTCTCCATCACAGCTTACCCAGGCAGCCAAGGGCATTTTTCATCTTTCAGGAGGTTGCTATTACAAATCAATGTTTTAGAAAGATTAGCCAAGCCAACTCCATTAATCCATTTCCCCCTGCTCCTTGTAATTAACTTGTCTTTAGATGACAATGTGGCTCCTATCAGAGATCTTAACTGTCTGGGAAAGGAGCCAAATAGGCACGACGCTGCCGTGCTGTCCCTGCTTGCAGAAGGTCTGCTTTGGGATTTAAGCAGCAATTAGAACTTGGAGCTGAGATATGCCAAACTTTTCAACTTCCCTGTTCTCTGCACAGGCAATTATTTTCACATGGAGTCCAAGAGGAAAAAAAAAAAAAAAGAAATAATTAAAAAATCACTGCAACAACCCAAATCGTGTCAGAGGCATCGGCTTTGCACGAGCATCCCGGGGAAGGGGGGGAGAGCTGAGGAATGCTGAGGCTGGTGCTTGCTGCTTGGCCCCCTGCCTTGGGAGCCTGGGCAGGGACCAAGGAGTCTGCAGGAGCCGCTACCGCCGAGCTGCTGCTCCCAGGGACACATACCACAGCCCTGGGAGAGCTGCGGGGACGGGCGAGCAAACACTGCATTGTTGTCATTCCTGCCTGCTCCCTGGGCTTGCACAACTTTGGCCCGTGAACGTTAAGACCCTTGATTACAAATGTCTCTCCCCCAGCCTAGCTCTGCCCCCTTGGAACTGCACAAATACAGCCCATCGGCCAGCCGGGCTCATTGTGACACCCCAGCCCTCCCTGCATCTCACTTTGCAAGGACTGGGTGCTTCCCTGAGCAAGGCTAAAGCCACCCCAGGGCCCCGTCTCCCTTACCTTGGAGAGGATGCAGAGGAGGGAGAGGAAGAGGAGCTGCTTCTCCAGCTGGAGCCTCATGCTGCTCTCCCCTCCGCCACTTCAGCACATCACCCCCCAGGCAGTTTGGAGGCAGCGGCGTGTTCGCAGGTTTTAAAGCCCCGAGTAGGTCCTGCTGGTGTTTATACTCTCCCTGCTCTGATGTCACTCACGGGCTCCAATATAAACATGAGTAGGTTTGGACAAGCCTCAAGAGTTTCTTTTTTTTTTTTTTTTTCTCTTTCTGTTTTTTTCTTTTTCCAGCCCCACATTCCAGCTGCCATTTCCACTCCCCTCAAGGTGAGAACGTGCTGTCCACCCAGACAGCGAGCAAAAGGAGGGGACACTGTCCCTGGGGAGCACGGGAGAGCCAGGCTGGTGGGGTGAACTGGCTCCTTGCTGGCAGCTGTAACCAGAAGGGAAGGTCCGTGCCTCTTCCTACTGGTCAAGGTCTGCCCAGACAGAGCTCGTGGCTTCCTCCTGGGTTTTGAAGGGTTTGGTGGGGCTGGCCCTGCCACCACCTGCTCTGGGACATTGTCCCTGCTCTGTAGGTGACCTTCCTCTGTATTTTAAGCTGGGTGCAGTGCACAGCAGGCTGTGGGACAGGGCTGAGTTGTCCATACTGTAGTCAAAGACAGGATCCTGTCCCTCCATCGCTGGGGACAGTGTGTGACATGTTTTTGACTGAGGCTGCAGCAGTTTGCCAGGCAAGATCTCCAGGCTGTGCTCTCTTCTCCATTTCTCTGGCACTGCAAGAGCCAGAAAAGGGTTTCCTGGGGTGCTGGTGCTGCCACAGCATCCCCGTCCCGTGTGGGGCTGTGGCTGTCGGGGAGGTTGGGGGGGCAGGTTGGATGCCCATCGTGTTGTGGTGCCCGGGGTACAGGATGCAGAGAGGGCTGCAGTCTGGCCCTGCTGGTTTCAAGCCTTGTAAACCCCATTTCAGCTCCTGAAAAATCATGACTGGTCATGAGAATTTAAAATCCAGTTTTGGGGAAGAGGAGCGGGTGCTCAGGATTTGCCTCCCAATGCACCAATTTTCACTCTGCCCTTTGCAAACTTTCCTGGTGGTGAGGCTGGCTCTTTGGAAAGAAAAAACGAAACATCTCAAGACCTCCAGGAAACTGAGCCCCTTCTTCACATTCCTGTCTCCCAGATCTTACCCCAAGATGTAAGAAGGGCAATTTGTGAGTCCAGAGCTCCAAGGAGAGGCCTGAGCTCAGGTAAGGATGTGGGATGCCCTGCAGCTCTCCCTAGCTCTCCTCCTGCACCCATGGATGTGGGTCTGGGGGGCTCCTGCCCAAGGGATGGATCCTGGTGGCTGCACAGACTGACCCTGCCTTGCAGGCACTATGAGAGCTGTGGTATATATCACATATTATGATATATGTTGGCAAACACACAGGAGGAGCTGGGTGCCGTAGAAGCAGAGCACTGAAATTACCCCACTAGGAGTGATGTCCCATCCTGCCCTCCATCATTTACCCCCTTCCTTCTGCTTTCATGACATGTCCTCGGCCACCTGAGCATCAATCCTGACCTCAGCTTCACCACTTGCCGTAGCCTGGAAGCCACAGAGCAGGGAGGAGACACAGTCAGAGCTCCCCCATTACCACCCTGATTCTCAGCTTTGCTTTTGCTTCATTAGCTGCAATCAGTCTGTTAACGAGGCCGTGGCAGCTTGTGGAAATACCAGGCCACCTTCCAAAGGCTGCTGTCACTTATTCCGGTGCTGGAGTCTCTGCTCCTCATGTTGGAGACCCAGATCCTTGCATGGCCCAAGCCCTGCCCGGAGGCAACCCGGGGAGGTGTGAGGACCACACATTGCTCCATCCTCTCCAGCAGGGAGGTTCAGGCCCTACCAAAGTGGGGTGACAAGCCAGAAGGTCTGATGTCAAAGGCTGGAGGCACATCTTGTGCTGTCGTTTGCTTCTCCACACCCTGGAGATGGTGCCCTCCCGTTTCAGATGCCTCAGCCCAGCCAGACATCCCAGAGGCGGCTGCGGTGCCTCTGTCAGCAACGGCTCGAGAGCAGCCAAAGCTCTGATCCAGCCTTGCCGCAAGGGGACGGCGGGTTCAATTAATTATTCCAGGCTTGTGTTTATTAGGGACTCCTGATTAATGGGCTTGACTTCATTTCCCAGTTAGAAATCAGGTGACAGTGCTGGTAAGGGAAATAAAATCCTCTCATCGCCCTCAGGGAGCGGCTCTGGGAGCAGCCAACAGCCCCGTGTGTGAGGTCTGGGGGGGCAGCCGGGCACCCCCTGGGGGGAGTGGGGCTCAGGGCTGCCCAGGCGACCCCACTGGTGATTAACCCCCCGTGCCTGCTCTCTCCTGGGTATAGGTTCAGCTCTTTGGGGTGGGGACCCCTTCTTTACCCTCTCCCTCAGCTTGGGACAAGAGGGGACAATATTTCCTCCCCACACCTGATGCCACTGAGATTATGCAGTGTTAGAGGTGACATCACTGCAATGTACAACATCATCACTAGGAAGCCTGCAGAGCTCAGGCAGTGACAGAGAGCCACGGCACCGAGTCAAGCAGCCAGACAGGGGCCAAAGCCACCGTCCCATGCCTGGCCATCTGCCTGTACTTCAGATGACATCAGCAATCCCCGGTGGTACCTCGCTGGGTCCAGAGGAGCTGGCTGGAAGGGTGCCCACAAAGTCCACCATGACTCTGCCTTCCTGAGGAGGATTTTCCATGGGTGACATGGGCTTGAGCTTCCCTTCTCCCAGCTCTCAGTGTCCCACGTGCCCACCCAGGTTGCCGTGCTGGGGGCCCAGGGGCTGCAGGCAGAGCCCAGCAAAGCGATACAGCCCTTGTGCAGGCTTTGATTTGCAAAGCCATACGAGAGCAGCACATTAGCAGTTCGTTTTATAAATACTCAGTTATAACCCTTCCCCTCTGGAGCACGAACCCCATATGTGTTCTGTACCATACGTGTGATTTCATAGCTAGTAATTAAGTCCATATGTTGTGCTTCGCAGTTTCCATGGTATTATTGTCAGGTTTTGGGGGGGGTGTTGTAATTTATTTTTTTTTTGTGGTAAATTGTGCAAGAGAATAGTTGATACAGGGATCTGAATACATCTCCTTTGAATTAGCCGCTGGCAAGCTCTGCTGTTTCTATAGAAATGAAGGAACTGACCCAGTGAATTTACATTTTAGACAGCTGGTTTTTTTCATGTCTGTGCAATTTAACGTGCCATCGCGAATAGCACTGCAAAGCTCTCGTTTGCGCACCCAGCTCAGCTGAAATTGCATCCATCTGTGAGGGATATAGACTATATTCTCCTTCCATCCCTTTCCTTTGCTCTTCCCTGAGACTCTTCCCTTCTTTTCTCTACCCTGTGTTCTTCACCCTCCCTAGAGCTGGCTGTGGCCAGACCAGGATCTGGACATCCATCTCTGTCAGGGAGCACCTGGGCTGTCCCAGGTCCTTGCTGGGTTTGTTCTTCTTCATACCAAAAGAGAAATTATAGTTCCAGGGTGAGCCCAGCTCCATACCTTGGTGGGGAGGGCTTTGCTCTGGGCACTCCTGGCTCAAATCCCCTCTGCAAGGGAGCAGGGCTGTCCATGGAGGGTGGACAGCACCGGTGGGAAAGCTGGACAGACATCCAGCTTGGAAAAGCCAAGAGCCCTGAGCTGAAAAGGAGACGTCTCAGGTCTTCCTCGACTGTTGGACACTTTGGGGTGGCTGCTGGCTGTTTTTCATGAGACTTCTGGAAACACCCCGGCTTTGGGAAACTTTGAAATACCTTCATTTTTGGCAGGATGGGGAAGTTGTTTCCTACCCAGAATGAATCCGGCTCCAGTTTCAAACAGCAAGAGCCGAGAGAGGTGGTGATGGCCATTTCCACCCCTGTCTGGCCATTTTTATTCCCTCTGGTTCTCACACCTAAACTGGAGAGCGGAGCCGGGCTGGGAGGACTGGCCACCCCGAGGAACGGGCCAGGCAATCTTTTACCTTGAGGTCACTGCTTCCACTCCAGACCCGGGCTAGGAGAGACTGAAAGTATTTACCATCTGGTGCCTGTCCAAGTGACTTGTGAGAAAAGAATTCAGGGCTGACGTCCAGTTTCTGATGGTCAGGCAACTACATCAGAAAACCCCGGCTTCATCTGGGACCAGTTGACCCCTCCAAGCTCCCAGCCACCTCGGCGAGGCCAGTGAGGGAGCGAGCAGCAGCCAGGCAGTGCCCTCTCCCAAGGAAATGGGGTCTTTTGGATGGGGAGCAATGCGTGGTAGCAGGGACACTTGGTCCTTCACCATTTTCCAGGCATTTTCAAGCAGGTTTCATTAGAAAGAAGCACTGATAAATGGGATTCGGTGCTGGTTCTGGTCTCAAAGTCTGACATTGCCAAGAGGAAGGAGCTGAGTGGTTACACAGGGACCAAAAGGACTACCATAACCAGGAAAGGGCTTTCTTAGCCAAAACTACAGCGAGATCTCATCATTCAGATTGAGGGACTTCTCATTAGCAGAGTCCAGCCTTCTATCAGCTGTTGTGAAAGGCCAACGTGTTATCTTAATAGACACATTAAACCCTGGGCGGTGATTCTGTGTGATTTCTTTTATTTTTCTGCAGTCCAGACGACAGCAATTTATAATTGTCCTCCTAAGTTAAACATTCAGATAACCCAAAGTATAAGACTTTTGTAAAACAAGTGCTGGAAACTTCAGCCAGATGACTCTGTCTGTTATTATTTGGAAAACAGTGTCAGAAATCATCACGTATCAAACATTATGATCCTCTGAGAGTTTATTTTTGGTATCAAACATCATCAAACATAAACTTCTTTTAAAAAAAATCTCACTAGAAGTTTTGTCTTTCAGACAAGACACAAACCCCAGTTCCTGACCTTGTGTGGTTACTGACAGGCCCTCAGTATTTTCCATGGAACTGCACGGCTAACTCATGTTTCCTGATCAAATTGCTCATTCTTTTTGACTATCTCTGTTTTTCTTGTGGTTTTAGGCTAAAATAGAGAGTGTTTTTCCTTCAGTTCTCGTCTTGCTCGTGTGTGCTATGTGTTCTCAAGCAGCTGCCATGTCCCTTGCAGCATCAAATATGCTGCAGATTGAGGCATGCACTGAGGTACAGCCAGTGATGCTTT